TCATATTTTAGGTTAAACTCTGAGCTTGGGGTTTATCAGCTCAATTGTGCAATTGGAAATTTTAATTGGGAAGCATGGCGTATATGCTTTCGTGCTTGTTGAGATTCATTGGACATTTCCATTTCCATTTCCATTTCCTTGGACTTGATGTTGGTCTTAGTCTTGGGCCTGGACAATTTCACAGAACGTCATTTCTAATGTTTGAAAGGTATTACTATTTTACTTTCAGGAAATTACACCCACACCTGAAAATAGATTTTCAATTTCACAAATTTGATAACAAATTCAAGGTTTCAAAAATCAGGTTTTAATTAATAATTTAAAAATATATTTTTTTTTATTTTTATATCTATATACAATAAAAAAAAATTGACCCCAACCAAACCCTAATCATTCCAATCAATTCCTCCCCCACCCACACTCTCTCTCTCACCAGCCCGGTCAACCCTTCTTCTCTACTCCCTCTCTCGCCGTCGCAACCACCGCCCGCCGACTGGGGACTCCTTCCACTCAACTCCCTTTCTCGTTTCACTCTCTCTCGTCTTCTTCCACTCCTCAGCCGCCTCTCTATCTTCTCCCCTCTCTGTCTCTTCTCTTTATCTCCACCCCGGCCGCTGCTTCTTACTCCAGCGTCTGTAATTTCATGCGGTTGGCGTTAGGAGGCGAGGATTGTCAACGAGCCAGCCTTCCTTGCGGTTGGGGTGTGGAGGTGCAAACTGTCAACGGGGTCTCAAATTTGTTTTTTTTTTTTGTGCGATGTGGTGGCGATGGAGTGTTAGGTGCGGTTGCGATCTAATCCGGTGGTTGGGTGAGTGCCAATGGTGTGGATCCAGTGGTCTCTGTCGTTGCAGATCCAGTGTTGGATGTTGGTTGTCGTCTTTTTTGGCGTTGCAGATCCAGTGTTGGCTGTTGGTTGTCGTGTTGGCTGTGGTTTCGGTGTTTTGGCAGTGGTTGGGTGTGTGTTTGTGCGGCGGTGGTGATTGTGTGGTTTGGGTGTGTTTCT